CTCAGCTACAACTATTACAGCAAAGGTGCTCTGGCACGATCGCTGTCAGTGGCAGTTGGGTTTCGCAGATCGCACAGGAGCGCCACAAGAGCGACTTATTAGTAGTAATAGTACAGTAATACGTTTGAGACTTTTCTTTTCTTTTCACGAAGTGAAAAAATAAACCTTCTAAGTGCAAAACTTTGAAAGAAACACATCGGAAAGTACTACTTTTTTTGGCTACACCGGAAGGAGGGGGAGAGGTGGGCAAGGTTGCCCCTTCCCTCTCAAATTCAAGTATACTTATAGGGGTAATAATGTTTCTTCAATGTAACTTCCTCAAAATCTCAAAAAATTTATAAAAGTGTGCTTATAATGAGAGGCTCCTAGATCTGAGGGGACTGGGGAGAGAGGGGGGAGATCTAAAGGGGGACGGGGGCAGTTTATGGGTGGAGGGACAATTTTGGGCCTTGGTAATAGAAGACGAAGTATAAAAATCATAAAATTCTTCCAAAAACATAGAAAAAAGCTTCGCATCTATCAAATACCCATACATTCTCAATACAGGCCTCGCAGGCCCAGCTTGGTTTTTCTAGGGGTATACATGAAAAAAAAATTGCTGTGCCTAAAAAAAAAATTTAAAATTTTTTTTTTCAAGAATAATGTTTTTAAGGATATTTGTAGAGCTATTTGTGAAAGACAGACTCCTAGGTTAATTACAGCCGCCGTGGCGCGAAAAATAAAAAGCCGCCGGGCCTGAGAGACCCGGTTAGTCATCTAAGGATTAAGGTCCCAGGAGTCAAAATAACCATAGTTGAAAAAATGTGTGTCCGTCCGTCCGGCGTCCCCCAAATCTGTGTACAGCAATATCTCAGAAAGTATCTGTTCAATTTCATTCAAAATTTGCAGAGAAGATCATATCTATGGTCTCCCTGTGCACGTCTAACGATTTTGGGGTAAATTAAAATTTAGGGGGGATAGGGGCCATGGTCGATTCTCAGCAAAATCACAGGGATAGCTCATTTTGAAGGACTGTAAATTTTGAAAAATGTCTCTCATTCTTTCAAAGTGGGCATCAACAGGGTTGCCACGGTCAGGGAATTCAGGGAAAACCTGGAAAAGTCAGGGGGAAAAAAAGTGCTCTGGAAAACCTGGAAAAGTTAGGGGGGAAAAAATGCTTTGGAAAACCTGGAAAAGTCAGGGACTTTGACCAAAAACAGCTAAAAGTCAGGAAAAAATTGATAATTTTCACGAGTTGCTTAAAATCTTTCTTTTTTCGGTTTTGAACGCAATATAAATTACGATGAAGTGGCATATCTCGCGATGCATTCAAGAGTTAACTTATGCAGCCGTATTTGGTCGCCAACGCAAATTGGAATGCCCAGTTTTTGTGTGTATTTTTGAAATTTCAACTACTAGCGATGACTAACCACTAACTGTTGAATTTTCTTCTTTAAAGTAATTCGAGTGTCTAAAATTATTGCAAACAAAGCATCAAAGTTCTTGAAAAAATAAACCATTTGAAGCTCACTTTAAAAATAGGTGTTTGAAAAATCCTGGGAAGGGAGGGATAAATAGAGAAACGAACACCAGGGAAGACCCTTTTTTTAAGAGTGTTTCTTCAAAAGAACAATCGTTCAAAAGTTTTCATTTCTGAAACAATTATTGGGTTGCTCAAGAAAGTCAAAAGCATCAAAATTAAAAGAAAAAGTTAACAACTCTTTTTGTATTTCCAAATGTTCTGCAATTAATTAGACTCCTTAGCTTAAGCGCGTTTCAAATGAGACGCTATATTAGTGCAATGGTAGCTAGGAAGGTGTAACTTTGGCTGTGCGATCATGGCGCGCGTTCTCAAAGGTCAGGGAATTTCTCCATTTTTCGTCAGGGAAAACCTGGAAAAGTCAGGGAAAATCATTGCCAAATTTTTGTGGCAACCCTTCATCAAGCACACCACCTGGATCATTAATTTAAGTTCCTAAAAGATCTTTGGACTAAACTCAAAATTGAAGGGATACGGGCCATATGGCGAGGGCACTTTGTTCCGCGAAATCACACGAAGAGCTCACTTTGACGGACTGTAGATTTTGAAAAAATGCCTTTAATTCTTTGAAAGGACTACGTGCAAAACGGGCCATTTGGGGCTCGAGGCGGATACCTTTGAGACTTGCCCTATTCATCTACCTAACAATGCCCCATCTTTTCCCAAAGTTTCAAGCCCCCCAAAAATTTTGGGGAGACGCGGCGGGGGGTCAAAGTTAAAAACCGGCAAAATTTTCGCGAATTTATTGCTCAAAAACCAAGAAGTTTTGGAAGACGCGGTTTAAACGAGCGTATTCAGCGTGACGAGAGCTTTCAGAAAATGTATAACATCATAGGGTTTTGTCAACTTCAGCTCGAGTAATCGCCTCCGAAGCGCCGGAACGCTCAGAAAAGACCCCTTATTTTTTCATGTTTGGGCCGATTTAACAAATAGCCATTTTTTAATTTTGATGAAAAACTGATATGTTGTTCCTGACTCTCTGTGGCCCCTCTAGCTCTTTACCGCATGCTGGGGAAATGTTTTGGTCGCAAGTTATAAGAGCGGAAAGGAGCTAATGTCGGGAAAATCGGCTATTTTAAACTGCGCGCGGCGACGGATCAAGAGACATGTGGTAACAATGCGAGGTCGGCAGAGGAGTATGATTCGGCGCACTGAGTGGGAGGGGACGTTTTCCCTCCGATCAACGCCGCGCGGGCAGTTTAAAATAGCCGATTTCCCCCACATTCGCTCCTTTCCGCTCTTATAACTCGCGACCAAAACATTTCCCCAGCATGCGGTAAAGAGCTAGAGGGGCTACAGAGAGTCAGAAACAACATATCAGTTTTTCATCAAAATAAAAAAATGGCTTTTTTTTAAATCGGCCCAAACGTGAAAAAATAAGGGGTCTTTTTTGAGCGTTCCGGCGCTTCGGAGGCGATAACTCGAGCTGAAGTTGACAAAACCCTATGATGTTCTACATTTTCTGAAAGCTCTCGTCACGCTGAATATGCTCGTTTAAACCGCGTTTTTCAAAACTTCTTGGTTTTTGAGTAATAAATTCGCGAAAATTTTGCCGGTTTATAACTTTGACCCCCCGCCGCGTCTCCCCAAAATTTTTGGGGGGCTTGAAACTTTGGGAAAAGATTGGGCATTGTTAGGTGAATGTAAAGGAAAAATCTCAGAGGTATCCGCCCCGAGCCCCAAATGGCCCGTTTTGCACGTAGTCTTTTGGCATAAAAGCACTAGAGTACCTTTATGGACAGAGTATGGCCATTTCCGTGCCGGTTTCTCATTGTTTGCGTGAAAATAGGCTGACACGATGTTCTTACGGCCCTAAATAAACAAACAAGATGGCTGCTATCAGCAAGCAAGTTTGAGGTTGCCGGCCAGGTTGGCCTAGTGGTTAGCGCGTCTGACTCTAGGTCAATAGGTCCCGGGTTCGAATCCCGGTGGTGGCGACAAATTTTCATGGAACTGACGAGTGGATCTGTAAGCAGAATTCGCTCGGCCTTAATCCGTGAAAATTTGTAAGCCCGAGCATGGATGTCTACCAAACTCCCTGATGTCTTCGGACAATAAATAGTGCCTATAGATGGCTGTAGATTCCGAAAGGAATAAAAGCCACTAAACTCTCAATAAAAAAAAAAAAAAAAAAAAAAAAAAAGTTTGAGGTTATGCACATCTCACATCCTCCTGTGATACAGTCGAAAGGCAATTTTACTGTGTTTTCATGTGTTTTTCATGTGTTATTCTTAGATATGCTAGTTTAAATTGTTAAGCTTCTTATCAACGTTACGGTGAGTCGCCATCTTGTTTGTTTATTTACGGCCGTAAGAGCATCATGAAGCCTAAAAACTCTTTGACCAATCAAAAAGCGGCACAGTTTTCCTGTAGTAAAAAGATACAAATGACCATACTCTGTCTATGAAAGTACTCTACAAAGCACCACCTGGGTCATTAATTCAAATTCCTAAGAGATCTTTGGACTAAGCTCAAAATTGAAGGGTTGCGTGTCATATAGCGAGGGCACTTTGATCACTTGAAGAGCTCACTGATAAGGGCTGTAGATTTTGTAGAAAGGCGTTTTATCGTATGAAAGTTGGCACAAAGCACCACCTGGGTCATTAATTTAAGTTCTCAAAAGATCTTTGGACCAATCTCATATGGACTGCCTCCCTTTGACCTAGGAACATTCCCCAAGTTTCAAATCTTTACCTCAATTAAGTAAAAAGTTAGAGGCGGTGGAAGGGACTTTTGGATCACCCTGTATCTGATTTTCACGGAAATTGGAGGTCACCTCAAAAAGAATCCGCCAAATAGGGTTGTACGGGTTTGTACCATTTCTGCTTTGGTATATGTACCGGTAGGATGAATGCTTTCTAAAAATACAATGGAGAAAAGCGCAACAAAGCGCAATGACACTTTGCCGGTCTGCAACATTTGAAAAATTGCGTTTTTTAAGATTCATTTTTTAGGCCACTTCGATCTCATGTCCTGCTGCCAAAAATCAATAATTTTGGGATCTGTAAAAGTGAAAATATTCTCCTTGTAATAGAATTTTGAGATAACATTTTTTTGTCCAATGATTGTGTTTCCTCCATTTTATAGGAATCATAAAACACTCCTTTTTTTACTGAGTGATTTCTTCGGCTCTCGACGCATGAAACGTACATTTAGATTTTTTTCCGGCTTTTTTAAGACAAAATTTGGAGGGAGCACATCTAAGTACCCTAGGAATTATCAAGTTTTGAACGATACGTCTGATCTAGTGGGAGTTATCAATTAAGCAACGCTAGAGACACATTCTAGCCCACTGTGAGTTGTCTCAATTGGACAAATAATTGACAATTGATTTATCTCATCAGGTAGAGAATTCTGAGGACCAAGCATCTAGTCAGTATTGTCACACCAATTTCAATAATTGCCGAATTATTGGCATTGAACTCTGTTGTCAGTTGTCATTTTAAGTTTTCATCCTTGGATTTGTGGATTCCTTCCTCAGGAGAAGTTGAAATTTTATCATGTCAAAGTCAGTGGTAAACTTCTTCGCAAGAATGTGGATATAGCACTTGAAGAGGGTTTGGGCAGTCTTCCTCCCAACTTATACGACGTCAGCTCATTACTTTTGTTCAACACTGCTGAGAATTTGTAAGTGCTTTTATCTTCTGCTTATGTTTTCTTCTTTAGAGAGTTTCAGTGTTTAATTGAGTGATCATTTTGTAAAGTTATGTATAAATGTTGAGTACAGACCCTCATTTGAGCAGTCAAGTCGGCAATATTCATGAATATCTGTGTAAAATCGGGAATATCTGTAAATAGGAATGCGTGTGAATATCTAAGAGGATTAAAAGTGAAGAAAATTTCTGCTGATTGAAGAGAAAGAGCCTAAGATTCTAGAATGTAGCTCAAATTTGTAATTAGTCTTTTCTTCTGGTTACTTATGTTTTCCTCCTCATGAAATTAAAATAGGCATGATAATTTTTACACAAATATGCACAAGTTGGTTCAATGGAGATGTTGCATGTGTGAGGGATTTGCGATTTGACTGTTGTTTCTTATGTATAAGTTCGCGAGGAACACGATGATGGTGCCACTGGTTTTCTCTGAAATCATCTCCCAAGCTCAAAAAAAGCTCTCAAAGTGAGGCCAAAATGGAGGGGATACCCTGCCCTACCCTGAGAGTCCTTCTCTAAATCACAACAAACTCTCCATGCAAAGATAGGGAGCAAATACATCAACAGGGTTGCCATGTTTTCAGTTTTGGAGTCCCCAAATGAAGTGGCAGCCCTGTCAATGTATTTGCTCCCTATCTTTGCATGGAGAGTTTGTTTTGATGTAGAAGTGGACTCTCAAGGTAGGGCGGGATATCCCCTCCATTTTGGCCTCACTTTGAGAGCTTTTTTTGAGCTTGGGAAATGATTTCAGAGAAAACCAGTGGCACCATCTTGTGTCTCGTGAACTTTTACATAAGAATTAGCAGTCAAATCGCAAATCCCTCACACATGCAACATCTCCATTACACTACTCTGAAGGGCTGTGCAAAATATAATCGCTTTAATTCCCTACCTTTGAGTCATCCAGGTGCCTAGCACACCTTCATCTCTTATTCAACTTCTAGCCTTTAACTTTTCTGCTCTCTGATGCTCTCCTGTCATTCTGTGAACGCAACTATATTTCGGAGAAGGTGATTCAATTAAGACCTCATGCTCAATGTTACTCTCAACTCCCATGATTACATGCTTTTAGTCACTGCCATTGTAGCATCATCATTTCGAAGCAATTTCTTTATCAGCATACTATACACACCAGGGTGAAAACGACTATGTGGGTAACATGTCGAGATTGTATCGTTTCCAACAGTATGAACAACATGTGTTGGGAATATGTTATTAACATCAGAGCAACATGCATCAATACGGTCTAAGACTCTAAGAGACGGCGATGAAACCAGTGTATGTTACCGTCTTGGCCCAATTGTGGTAACATGTTAGCACCTCAATTTGTGGTGTCACCATGTTTCACTCGCCAACATGGTCGTTTTTAACAAGGATCTATCCATCCATTATGTTGGGTATCAGATTTTTACTGGCTTTTGTGACTCAAAAACAAAGGTAATGGAAATTGAAGGTATCTCAAGGTCAAATTGTTTTTCTGTAGAGAAAACATCATCTTCTAAATTTTTTTCATATTTTGTCCGTTTAAAAAATGCCTGAAATATCTATGTTTTTAATCATATCAGGAGCCTTGCTTTAAACCTTTTAAATGAATTTGAGTAATTGTCATTTAGGTACAAAAAATATGTTATGCGGGATCCACTTGGAGTAGCATCGAAAATGCGTTTGTTGATTGAAGAGGATGAGAGGAAAGAGGAACTTGATGCTGCACCTTCATCTATTTCTGGAGGTGATCAAGCCAATCTGAAAGTTGCTACAAACTACTTTTATGCACCAACTCTGAAGGAAGTTCCTGAAATAGACGTTCCTTTGGATCTGCCTGACTTACCTGGTTAGTAATCTAAATTAAAGGTAAGTAAGGAATTGAAAGAGGGCATGCCTGTTAGCCTTCTGTAGTGGTTGTAGCGTCAGCCCTAGGACCGAGAGGTTCCGGGTTCGATTTCCTGTCAGGTGGCCTGAGTTTGATGGTCTCAGGCAATGGTCACCCGGGGCTGGGGTAATGAGCGTGATATCCGCCAATAGACTATTTGAAACCCGGTAAAAAATATGAAAATTTTAAAAAAAAACGAGAATTTTACCTACTAACTGCGTGATCTTAGGGATCCATGTCTATTCGAACGGACGTGTAACCACCCCGACTCAGATTTTCATGATTTTTTTTTTACTTAATCTATCGGTCAATATAAGAAAAAACCCAAAATTTCAGCTTCATACCTTCAATACTTCTTGAGAAAAAAATTCTTGAAGTTTTATGGCGTTTTCTAAAAATGCACTTGCCAAACTCCGAAAAGGGGAATGTCTTGTGTTTGAAAAAGTCTCATAAGTTTTGGAGTTTTAAAGATTTTAAGATGAAATTTGGCACACTAATTCGTGTTAGTATGTATTTTAAGGGCAAGATTCCCAATTGAACCCAACTCACTCGGGAGGGACAACCGAGCCGAAGATACGCCGTTTTAGCCCTGATTTTTAAAGCTAAAAACTAGTTTTCTTAAAATGGGCGTAGCAACCGAAGCTAACGAGATGTTGCCAACTTTTTTTTTTTTTTTTGTAAATCAACTTCAGAGTATGCTCTAACTGATAAAAAAATAAAAATCGTGGGTATGCAGCTTCTTCCTTGGTTAATCATACTTTTTAGCAAAAAACGCTCAAAAAAAGTTGAGTTCGGGGTAGGGTGGTTCTTATTTTTCGACTTTTCGAAAATCAAATGTCTGATCCCCCATAAAGTTGTCTTTGCGTGTGAAATGAACGTACAAAAAATTTCAGCCGGATCGGATCATCCTAAGTGGTGCCGCCGGGGCCGACAAGTCTCCTCAAAGTTAGTTGCCCCTTTTAGCCCTACAATACCTTCCAGTCGACTTTATTTTCCAGGAGCTGGACAGAATGTCTTTCTTTTTGGCTTAGATGACGTGGTAGACACTCTACTTCATGAATCTGAAGCGTTTTTGCTTTTGATTTGTCAAAGAATTTTAACTCGTTCAGGCAAACCGTGCCAGGAGAATGTCACGAAAAGTCGGCGAAAACGCACGATGAGGCTCCTTTGAAGGGTGGGAAAGGGCATTTAAAAAGTAGTAAGATAAAGTATGTTATTTTTCTCGTAAAATACCCTAAAAAGTGTGTTACCTCATACAATTTCAAACCCTCTGTGCGACAACATTGTCGTCTTGTCCACCAACTTTCAGATCGTGACCCACTGTGCGACAACATTGCCGTCTTGTCCACCAATTTTCAGGTCGTGACCCACTGTGCGGCTTCTCTCCTCTTTTGCCGCACACCCCCCGCCTAAAACTTTCAAAGCTCGCCATTTTTAAACGGCTCGACCGATTTCGCTCAAATTCAATACCAGCCTAGAACTAAGTAAGATCTTCCTTCTGTAAAAATTTCGGGGAGAAAGCTTTTAATTTGCTCGAGTTATCGCGCCCACAAAATTGAACCTCCCCCCCACTTCTCGCCCCCGCCATTCGAAATGTAATACTTCGATCTCAGTTTTTTTTCGCAGAATGGTAGTCCTGTTCCTCTACTTTACATCGCAAAAAGTTTCACCCGGAAATTTTGAAAAATGAGGGAAATGTAACCAAGCAAAAATCGGAAAAACCACGATGAGTCGGAAATACATACATAAATAAGCACACACACACACACACCCTCACACACACACCCACACACACACACACCCACACACACACCCTCACACACACACACACACACATATATATATATATAATATTAAACCAAAATCACGAGTACTTTCCAACCTTTTTATTACATTTTGCAATCTTCACACTACATTTTAAACACCGACGTTTCGGAGACAATTTTCTCCATCTTCAGGGCAGACGAACTTTATTCATAACTGAACGAGGAAAAAACACAGAAACCCAGTTCAGTCGCAGCAAGAGACCAGTTTAACGATAACAAGAGACATGACAAACATCAACACAAACAATAACAATAAGCCCCCGCCGCAGAGAGGTAGTAGGTACTCATACAGAATGAAAGTTTTCAGAGATTAGATAAATATTCCTCAAAGTGAGCAAACTCAGTTCTAGAATTTATAGCATTTTGGTAATTTAAAATACATAACCCCTCCAAATTCAACCTAGTCTGTTCATTCTTCTCTCTCTTCAACACCCTGGTGTTATTGAAATCAAAGGAATGACCCTTTTCTCTCACGTGTTGCTTTAGCGCTGTCACCTCATGTTGATTAAACTTATGCCCATCCAGCCTTTTATGCAGATATTGGGATGACTGCCCTATATAGACGCCTTGACAATCTCCACACGGTATCTCATACACCACTCCTGACAGCTTTTCAGTTGGGATTTTTGACTTCAAACAAGACTGGAAATTTTGTAAATTTGATTTATTAGAAGTGACTAAAGTGTAGCCATGCGGCTTTAACACGGATCTAATCTTTTCTGAGCAGGAGGAAACGTACGGACATACAACAAATTCGGTTTTTTCGACCAATTTTGGAGGGGGAAAGCCATTATAACAAAATTTCACTACATTCTCAAATATAGAGTTGACAAGGTGCTTGGGATAATAATTTTCAAATAACAATTTTTTACCTTCCCTTATTTTTTCTTTGCGGAGCATGGGATGAGTAAGATGGCATACGCGTCTTGCCAAATTCTTAATTACATTGATTTTTTGAGAGAGAGGTTGTGCAGACAAAAAATTCAGATATCTGCCCGAGAAAGTAGGTTTTGTAAACCACGATGTAACAAATTTACTCCCTTGTTTTATAACAAGAACATCCAGGAAAGCTATGGCATTATTGGCTTCATATTCAATTGAGAATTTAATGTTACTCGAAAACATGTTGAAGAATTGGTAAATACTATTGAGATCGTCCTTATGACAACATAGAATTATGTCATCCGCAAAGCGCTTATAAAATAACATTTTATACGGAAAAACTTCAAACATTTTTTCTTCAAAATATTCCATAACCAAGTTGGCAACACTGGCACTCACCGGTCCACCCATCGCTAGTCCGTTAATCTGTTTGTAGCAATCTTCTCCAAACTTAAAAATTGTTGAGTCTAAACATGCCCTAATGCCCTCTAGGAATTGCTCTTTGGGTAAGGTTGTATGTGGGGCAATTAGTGGCCATTTTTCCGTGATAACGTTCAAAGCTAACTTTATGGGAATATTTGTGTACATTGATTCGACATCAACAAAAGGGTCAAAGGGTCATCATAAAAAGGTTGGAAAGTACTCGTGATTTTTGTTCAATTATATATATATATAAACATGAATTCAAACGGCATGCATATTCGTGATCTACGACCCATGATCGATGCTCATTACATGGTCTTTGGTCCAAGTCCTGTATCAGGGGAGAACGCAATAGTGTATTTCCTTCGGAAAATACACTAAAAGTTGGCAATATCTCGTTAGCTTCGGTTGCTACGCCCATTTTAAGAAAACTAGTTTTTAGCTTTAAAAATCAGGGCTAAAACGGCGTATCTTCGGCTCGGTTGTCCCTCCCGAGTGAGTTGGGTTCAATTGGGAATCTTGCCCTTAAAATACATACTAACACGAATTAGTGTGCCAAATTTCATCTTAAAATCTTTAAAACTCCAAAACTTATGAGACTTTTTCAAACACAAGACATTCCCGTTTTCGGAGTTTGGCTAGTGCATTTTTAGAAAACGCCATAAAACTTCAAGAATTTTTTTCTCAAGAAGTATTGAAGATATGAAGCTGAAATCTTGCGTTTTTTCTTATATTGACCGATAGATTAAGTAAAAAAAAAAAATCATGAAAATCCGAGTCAGGGTGGTGACAAGTCTGTTCGAATTGATATGGAATGACCCCTTACTGTCCATTTGTGATATATTGGACCCAAGATCCCTAACAATTAGTGGAAAATAATCGATAATATGTTGAAATTTATCCATCACATTTTTGAGAGGACACTGAACCTTGCACCGAAGTCTCTGATTCTTGTAGATTCAAGTGGCTAAAAAGAGACTTCAGCTCCCTTAATTCCATCATGACACTAACAAGGGGAACTTCCCAAGCTGTTGCCTCGATTGGGCTGAAAAAATTCGAGCTAACTCATTAGATGAATCTATTAGAGCCGTGTTTTTTGTTTTTTCCAATGCGTCCGGTAAACACCTCAAAAAAATTCGGAAAAGTCTTTCTGCGAGCGCTTGAGTCTGTATACGCAGTTTAGCAGCTCTAATCCTACATCAGGCGGCGACTCTGCGGTTGATCGCTCGCCTCGCAAGCGGGCGGTCCCGGGTTCGATCTCTGGGCGAGTTGACTTTTTGTTACGATCGGATTTTATATTCTCACACATTTTGCACTACAGCACTTCACATCGAATCACATTTCATACATTGGAACTTAAAACATTAATTAATTTACAATCATCACCAAACACATATTCATCAATGATCAATAACTTCTTCAATTAGAAGTATAGATGCTTCTTTTTCTTTTTCTTTTTTTTAAAATATATTAAATGTGATTTGATGTGAAGTGCTGTTGCGGAAAATGTGTGAGAACATAAAAGTCGATCGTAAAAAGTAGTCACGTTGCCTGGGGATCGAACCTAAAACTGCCCGCTTACAAGGCGAGGGTACTACTGCAGAGCCACCGCCTGATGTAGGAACAGAGCTGCTAAACTGTGTCATTACACCCGAGCGCTAACTACAAGACTTTTTTGAACTTTTTTGGGGTGTTTTCAGGGCGCATTGTAAAAAGCAAAAATATACGGGTCTGATGGATTCATCCACAGAGTTCTTACGAATTTTACGATCGGAGGCAGCAGCTTGGGAAGTTCCCCTTTTAAGTGCAAAAACAACCAGATAACCTGTGCTTGGGCCGCCAGTTTCATCAATGGACTTCTTCTCTTGGTTTTGAGTAAATCTCTATAATACACCATGCCAAATTGCAGTGTGTAAAACCCACCTTAAAGTTTTTCACGACTGTTTTGCGGAAGAGTTTTTTTTCCCTCGTCATTTTTTCAGTGTATTTTTTGTTCCAAGAATTTCATAACGCAGTTGGAGGCCATCCCTTACCAACGTCAGGGTCCCAGAGAAAGAGGGAGACTACGGTGCCTCCAAAAAAAAGGAAAAGAATTTGAGAAATGATAGGTTCACCCCATGAGATCTTACATGATACTTGAACGTCTCCTATTCTGTTACAGTTCAAGCATGATTAATTCCGTAAGTGTAACTCCAATGAAGTATAAAATTCACCTCAATGTCCCTAGAGTACCTTTTTTGACAGAGTATGGCCATTTCTGTGCTGCTTTTTCATTGGTTGCGAGAAAATAGGCTGACACGATGTTCTTAAGGCCCCAAATAAACAAAATGGCTTTTATCAGCAAGCAAGTTTGAGGGTATGCACATCTTACATCCTCCTGTGATCAAGGCGAAAGGCGATTTGACAGTGTTTTCATGTGTTTTTTGTGTGTTATTCGTAGATATGCTAGTTTAAATTGATACTGCTGTATAATTGCAATTTTTGTCAAATTTTAGCTTCTTATCGATGTTACGGTGTGCCGCCATCTTGTTTGTTTATTTACGGCCGTAGGAGCATCATGAAGCCTAAAAACTCTTTGACTAATCAAAATGCGGCACAGTTTTCCTGTAGTAAAAAGATACGAATGGCCATACTACGTCTATAAAGGTACTCTAAATGTCCCGTCAGTGAAAGGAAGTATCTTACTCAAATAACACATTTTTTACAGGCATTGCAGATGACTTGCGCTACAACTTTGACACTGGGTCCATTACTTCACCCTCTCAACCGGACACGCCAGCAGTTGTTGAGCTTCCTTCTCTGCCAGACATGAAGACCTCCACAGAGACTGTCAGTTCCCAAAACACTTCTCCGTTACTTCCTCCTGCGCCTGTATTTGAGCCCTCTCTTCCGCCACCTCCGCCACTGCCGCCTCCTTTACCGGTCTTAGTCGACGGAGATACAGGCATCGTCTCAGTTGCAGCTCCCTCTTTGGTATGCATTTGCCTTAACCCATTCCCTTATTGATTGATGCATGCCCGTGCACAGATTTACTATTTAATTTCACTGCAAAAAGCTGTATTTGGTTTCATCTTAGTTCTCTGCTTTCCCTGATAATTAGGAGCAAGTTTTTGGCCTAATTCTTATTAGTTATAATTAGTATGATGTTTATATACATAAATTTGCCTGGATGTTGCACTTTTTCTGCAGTGAGTCGGCTTATGTCAGGTGAATTTCCTGAGAGAGAGAGAAAAAAAATTAAAATTTAGGAGAAAAATCTTATTTATTGGAAAAAAAATACTTGCTACAAGTCAGAAAACCCTAAGAATACCAATGTCAGTAAGAAATAATAGTTGCATTACAACCAAACCGCTTGAATATGGAATAAAAATAAAATGAAGTCAAGAAAATTGCGTGCAAAATTAGGTTTAGTTTTGAGGTTATTCCATGCTTTCGCATATTGAAACTAACAAAATTCCCTACATTCAGGGAATTACTGTACAAAACCAGTACAGGTTGGTCACACTACTTCTAGTGACAACATCTGTCGATTTACGTGGCGCTATCTCTCGTGAAAACATCAAAACACGGCAATACGCGCAGCCAAGTTGCATGTCTAGTGGGACTTGTCATTTCCCGCTTGGCCCAGTGCGGCCATGACGACTCTCACTCATTATTTTAAGGGAATGGGTTAACTTGGAACAAAAAATTTTCAACGCGCACACTTGGTTAAATAGAAAGTTGGGTTTAGGAGCCTTTTAATGAGAGTGGATCCAGGAGTTATTTGAGGATGATGAAAATTATAAGGGCCGTAGTATTTTAGTAGGGGAAAATGGTGTTAGTATAATTCTCTCTAAGAAAATCTTTGAAATTAAATTTATAGCGCATCAGAAAGTAGAAATCAAAAATGTTAAGCACAATCCGGCAAGGATTCCTCAGTGCCACCGTTGCCAGGGGTTTTTGCATACTCAAGCATTTTGTCATAAAGATCCTAAGTGTGTTAAATGTAGTGGACCTCATTTGAGTTTCTTATGCGCTGAGAAGAAAGTGGATAGTCCAAAATGTGTGAACTGTGGTCAAAAACACACAGCAAATTATTCCGGTTGCGAGATCGCTAAGTTTTTCAAAGAACGTAGGCTGGCAGATTTAAACAAGAAAAAACAAAAAAAATAGTGGTAAAGAAAATTCAGGAAATAAATTAAGTCAGAGACCAGTCAGCAAAAATGTATCTTTTGCTAGAATGGCTAGCGATGGTAAATCCAACGATAAAGAAAATTCCGAGAGTCTGATGGAGAAAATACTTAATTTCTTAAATGAACAAGCAACTATTAATGCTCAAATTCTTTCTAGGCTTGATGCTCTAGAGGGAATACTTCTTGGCAACGATGGCACATAGGGTGCCTCATAGCAGAAGGCCAGGACCTCCTTCGAATAGTTTCAAAAGAATTCCTGGTAGTCACTTTGACAGGGATAAAATCCCCACTTACGTTGAGTC